AGCTGCTGCAATCGTGAATTTCCCTGTACTGGTCACACTCTGCTGTAGAAACTTTCCCCAGCAGCTGCAAAATCCTTTCTGAGGCCAGATCTATACTGCAATGTGGCTGGAGTCAACATACCTTAAGCCAACCTTGGAGTTATCTGCATAGTGGGAAATTGACGGGAGCAAATGCTCCCACTGACTTCTCTTACTCCTCACAAATCGAGGAGAACGGGCATGGACTGGTGGCACCCTCAGCAATCGATTTAGCATCCTTATTAGACACGCTAAATCGAATGCTGGAAGATTGATCTCCAGTGTAGTAAGTATAGACGTGGTCTGAGTCAAACCTGTTTGCATAGGCTGGACCCAGCCACCAGTTTCTGACCCATTGTAAGTCCACAGCTCTTCTACAGACTTATCCTGGAAGTCAGACCATCACAGACCCATCACTCAAACCCCGGGCTAATGCCAACCTCTGGCTGGTAGTACAAAGCTCATCTGGGGGTTCCTTCGTTAGTGCACATCACAATCTGAAAGCTCCCAGCATGTTTCGATCAAATCCCCAAGCTGGCTGTTTCAGCACCACACCCAGAACCCAGTAATGTCAGTGGCGAAAGTGCCATGGACTTTAGCAGCAGGAGGCCCTACCTTAGGAGTCTGGCACTCAGGTTCATACCCCGCAGTGAGAACAAAGGGTGAAAAGTGGGTTGATTCCCGCTAGAATGGGTCAGTCGACAACACTTCTTCCCGCCCTGCCTCCCAGGCTTAGGGAATGTACTGAGAGATTGCAGAGATATGGCAAGGAGCTTAGTGGTGGTCAGCTGGGTATGTGGCAGAGCACAGCTGTCACACCAGTTCTCCACTGGCATGTAATCTCTCAGGGACCTTTTGCCTGTGGAAAGTTAGAGCAGTCACTTGGGTGCTTTAATTAAAGCTAGGGCTGGACCAGTGCTGAATCAGAGAGCCATAGTGAGTTCTGTGATAGCCCTGCCCGCCTCCTCCACTGCGCCAACTGGAGCTCAGATGTAAGGGGAAATCAGGCCCCATACGCTATCTGCACTGATGCATATGTTCCAGCATCTGGATCCTCCTGCATAATGTTCACACATGCAAACCTTTAGTGCTTTGATGAAGAGATCCCTGAAGGTTTTCATGGTGCTAAATACATCTTCTAATGACAACTTGTTTGCATCTTCACAGAGATAATTTGCCAGTTCCATCTTCTTTCTTTCAATGGTTTCAAACTCTTCCTCCAGCTTCTTCAATGCATTTATGCTGTCCTGAAATGCAGTTAGGCCATGTTACAAAGTGTGGTGCCTTAGACATTTCAAGGAAAGATCAATGGGAAATTTAGTTAGAATGACAATGTGACAAGAGTTCAGTTCCAAGGTGGTGTGGCCCAAGAGCTGACAGGGCAGTTTGGAGAAGAGGTGCAAAGATGGTGAGGGCTCTCCCTTATCCCTGTTCTTTGTCTTTCTAGTCAGCACTGGGCATGGCACATAAACACAAAGGGGTTGTGTGGCATCCAAATTCATTTTCCAATATGACAAGTGATTAGTGGTCAAATGTTTCCACCCTGCACCCTGCCCTGAACATGGTATCTTTTGCAGAACCTTGGCTGTCCTCTCCAGGGAGGCCCTCCTTTCACTGACCTGGATGGGCGTTTCATACTGTGCTTTCACGTCGTCTTTCGATGACAAAACCTTTCCTTCAAGTTCCAGCAGCTTCTTTAAATTGGAACTGGATTCTGCATGTATGGATTCAAGGCTAATTCTGAAAAGGAACACAAAGCCCCAGGAGATTAAAAGCAGGTTGCTTCTTGGAGTGCTGGGCTTGCTAGAGGAGTGGAAAAAGCAGTAGTGATGTCCCATGCCCCTCTCCCTTTTGTGTTTCTCAGCAACTCTGTGGTAGTGAGCACAGAAGCGTGCCTGTGTGTTCTTAGGTGGTATCATACTACAAGACAACAGATCGTGGTTAAGGCATCGGACTATGAGTGAGGAGACCTGGGTTTCATTCTTGGCTCTGCTGCTGTGCCTGGGGCAAGTTATTTCACTCCTCTCATTGCTCCTGTCTAACTGGCCCATCAGTTGAAAGGCATGCTCCAGTTGTGGCCCTTTGAATATGGTGGTCCGACTGTAATACAAATACCCTAAAGTCGCGAGTATAGTGCGCACTTTTTTTCCCATTTTTTTAACGTCAAAGATGGGGTGCACATTATCCATAGGAGTTTTTAAAAAAAATTTAAACTCACCCTCAGTAGGCACGAGCTGGGAGGGGGACAGGCACAGGCTGGGCTGGGGGGGCCCGCCGACACCTGAGCGAGAGATGCTCCCCCGGCAGGTGCGAGCTCAGTGCGCTGGCAACTGGGCAGGGGAGACTCCCCCCTCTGCCCACCCCAGCAGGCGCAAGCTCAGCACGCACAAGCTCAGCTGGGCAGGGGTACCCCATGGCAGGCACAAGCCCCTTCCTTCCTAAGCACATGGTACCTTAAAATCTTGAGTATATTGGGGGTGCGCATTATAGATAAGAGTTTAGTTTATTCAAGAATTTTGACCTTTAAAAGGCAGATGCGCATTATACATAGGTGCGCATTATACTTGAGATTTTACGGTAGATGAATTTAGGGTGGGCTTTTTCAAAGTGCCTCTGTGTGTTAGGAGCACACACCCATTCTCTTTTAATGGAGCTTGTGTTTCAGTGCCGTGTGCTCCTAAGTCACTTAAAGACATTAAAGTGGGCTTTTCAAATCTCTTGATAGTACAAAGCATCACCAGCCAGAATGCATTTAGCTGGCTCTGCAAATCTCGGGGGACATTTGTCCACATGTATTTTCTTGTGCTTAATATTTTGAACTCAAGCGCAAAAGGGTTACTAGAGTCAGACGAAAAATCCAAACCGTCCTCAAAAACTTTCAAGCAACTGCGCAAACAGCTTTGTTAACAAGCCAGGGCTTTTGCCAGTCCCAAGAGAATTCCCCTTACGAAGAGCACTTACGAAGAGAGAACCAGGACTGACTGCAATCTCATGTGTTATATATGTGTAAATGGATACCTACAGACTTTAATTGTTTGGTTTCATTAACATGTTAGAGATTAAGAGCTTGTCTGAAGCTGCTTGGCTATTGTCCCTAAACACAGCAGTGACAGATACTTCAGCACTGCTTATAGGTAGCTAGGATTAAAAAGAGAGAACCGCCTTGAACATCATACCATTTCTGTGAATGCTTGCAAAGCAGAATTAATTGAATGCAGCACCATTTCTGACCCTAGTTACTGTCTTGCTAATTGCCAAACTGTGCATATAGTCAATTTGCATTTTAAAATGGCTTCACAAATTGTGAAAGGAAATCTTTTGGTTAAAACTAATTGCGTCTCTATCCAGGTAATGAATGAATTATAATAACAATCATTTATGTGTTAATTTCTTGACTCCAGGTGATTCTTCTTTTAATTTAAAGTAACAGGTTCACAAGCCTACCCGGCTGCCTTTGAAACATATTCAAGGTCCTTGGGAAGCTCCAGTAGATCTCTGTGACTTTTTTCTACTTCCTAAAATAGAAAAATTTGTTATTTTTATATTTATTTTTCATGCACAGAGGAGGGAGGGGAAGGAGACGGTTTACAGTAAAGGGAGTGATGGGAATGTACAATGTTTAATTCTAACTCCTTCCCCCCCCCCCCACTGTTTGTTTAGCAGGATTCAAAAGGGGACTGGCTGTTTTTATGACTGCCAAAACTATCCAGAGTTCTGAGTACGGATTAAAAAATATATACAAAAGTATTGAAAGGGCTACGAACCCTTGAGCCTCAGGGTGGAACTTGATCTGTAATGGATGGGTGGTTAGAAAGGAACTTTCCGAATGGATGGATTATTCCAGAATTCACTGCTGCAGGTTTTTTTTATACCTTCCTTAAAGTGGAGGGTCCAGGCTACTGCTAGAGGCAGGATATTGAACTAAATACTAAAAGGACCACTAGTCTGATCCGGTCTGGCAATTTTTATGGTTCTGTGTATGTGTTAAGAATATCTGTCCTATATTATCTGCCTGCATAGTATCTATCTACATATTTATACACCCACCTTTGCCATGGTGTCCAGCCACCTCAGCATAGCAATTATGCATTGGCTATTTTTTTTTAGGTGTCATGGTAAAAGTGGGACCCCCCTCCAAAAAAGGGGGTTTGAATGCTCAGGATTGGCAAGGGGAGACCTCAATGAATGGAGCAATAAGACTGGCAGAGGAGAGGGGAAAGTGTAAGCTCTGGCTGGCAGGGATTGGGTCTTTTGGTTCTGTGTTTGTACGGTGCCTAGAATAGTTCCTAGCCACTATGTTAATACAAAAGTTAAATATAAAGGGCAGCTAAGCAGCTGAGAGAAAGCTATGAAAGATCTTGAAATTGGGGCAAGACGCTTGAATGTGATCTGGTGGAAAAAGCAGTGTCAGTGGAGCACACCAACGCTGGGGGTGACTTCACTGGAGCAACAGGCAACAAATATGCTCCTGGCAGCTGCATTTTGTATGGGTTGGATTGGGGGTGAAATAGGCATCCAAGAAGCAAGAGAGGAGGAACTTCCAGAGATCAAGCTGGAAGACAGTTAGGCCCTGGATGAGATTCTTTGCTTTCTCAACTCTTTGTCTGGAATTCTTTTAAAACGAAGTAGCACATGCAGGTCAAATACTATGAGCTCAAGCAATCTTTCCAGTACTAGGCAAACAAGCGAAAAACATATAAGCACAAACAAATACTAACAACCAAAGGTCTGGCTGGAAAAATAGTTCATATCCAACCAAAATCCCCAAAGGAAATTGTAAGGGTACCTCCAGAATATGGTGGAGCAAAGTAATACGGGTTTGGTTTGCTTTGGTTTCAGTTAGTTTGAGTAAAGTGCTAATTTTAAAGCCATCGGCATCTCCAGTGTGACTTCCCTGAAAGACAGAAAGAAGAGGCAGGTATAACACATGTCAAATCCAAATGCTTACTCTATGTTTATACCCTATACATGCACCAGAGATGGAAAAAAGTTCTTTTCATCTTATCATTCTTATAAACAACAACAAAACAAATTCTTACGTAGTTGAGAAAGTTTCCAACTTTGAGAATCAGTTGACAAAAAACTGGCAGGCGATGTGTGGTTAGAAGATCTGAAAAAGAAAGGTATCCTTTACATATGGGGCCAGCTTCAGAACTGAATGAATGTCTCCCAAACTGGATCAAAATTTCCATTATACCAGGACAGGATTTCCATACAGTAGAACCTCAAAGATAAGAACAGCAAAAGTTCTGCTGTATGGAAATCCTGTCCTGCTACAATGGGAATGCTGATCCAGTTTGGGAAGAGGATTAGCTTGCAAACTCAGTCAGAACCAAGAAAAGAAGCTGATGGCAAGCTGAGGAACGTGGCCTGAAGTGTCAGCTGCTGGATCTGGTGCCCAATTGTGCTTTGTTCAGAATTATGAACATTTCAGAGTTACAACAACCTTCATTCCCAAGTGTCCATATCTCTGAGGTTCTGCTGTATTTGCAGCCCAGACGTTGCTGCAAGCTGTCTCATGGGAAACACGCTCTTTCTAACAGAACTTGTCTAGCTGTATTAGTCGGGCTGAGGAATAGGTTTTGTTGATTCGTTAGACTTTATCCCTTTCATCTTAATTGGGAAACTATATAGGGACGGTTTCTCCCAGTTACTCCATATTCACACTGTTAAAAGTCAGAGAATCAAGCTGCAGCAATTTTTATCTTAAAAAGCTCTTAGGCCTGGATCCTCAAAGCTGTTTGGGCTCCTGGCTTTCACTGAAATCGGTGGATTTTAGGAGCCTAAATACCTTTTGAGGATCTGGGCTTTAGAGCCTGCCCCAGTGCACAGTGAAACTAGTTTTGACCATCCCTAGCCACTGCATCTGTGCACACTACTCATGTTGTCCCCAGTGACCAGGCTTATCAGGATGGGAAGGATGCTCATTTGTCTCCCAACAGTAAGTGCTGTAGCACCAACTGGAGGGGTGCTGCAGACAGAAGCAGGAACTTCAGCAGAGGCAGGCAGCAGGGGAGAAGCCTTTCTGAGTATTTCCTACAAATCCCAACACCCTCTTATTATAGCTGCTGGTGAAAACTGTGACACAGCCTAAGGGAATCAGTCTTTCCGGGTATGTTGCTCTTGACAGTGGAGATGGGACATGACTGTCCATTGAAGAAAATGGGATTTTTAAATCTGACTTCAGTGGGCTTTGGATCAGGCCCACAGAAAAATAATTTCTACTCTTCTTTTTTCCTGGGGCCAAAAAAGATTTAAAAAATCTGCAAATATAAATTCAAACCCTGGAAAGTGCCCTAAGAGTGGAGCTGGTGACTTTATTTCCACTAGAGGGAGATGTTGAATAAAGATTACCCAATTCCTTCCTTCCTTCCTCCGCTGCTGCCCTTTTCTGGGAGCATTTCCCATTCAGCTCTTTTCATATCAGCCTTTAGCTCCCTAAACAACTTCACGTACTCCAAAACAGGTGGCATAACATACGGCAAGGGCTATCCTGTGACCTACCAAGGTATATCCACAATGGCTCACGCTGCTGCTATACATGAGCGAGCACTACCTATTTAGAACAGCAAATGTAACAAATGTTCTTATCCTGCTCTGTCCCTGGAACAAAGAGTTTTAGGTAGGTTATAGTGGGATTTGGGACTGGGATTTTTTTTATGAGCTGAGGCAGGATTGTGTGTTAGGAATTTATTGAGGGAAAGAAAGCTCAGCAGAATGAATTTGTTTAGCATTATCTTCTAAGTGTGGTCCTTCTTAACTCCAGCTAGAGGGAGTTCTATAGTCCCAAACCAGCTTCTCTGAAAGCTGCATCACTTGCACAAACAAGCCTCAGACAAGCAGTGACTTCAGGGAAGATAGCTTGAACTACACTCTGTGCTCATTGGTATGCCAGGGCTGCAAGGGGGGCACTAGGGTGATGGGGTGACAATACCACATGGTCTTAGACAGACAAGCTGCTGAGCTTGGTACCTTCTGTAGGTTTTTCAAGACCTGCAGCTTTATTCCTAGTTAAGAATGGGGGTATGTCTACACTACCCCCCTAGTTCGAACTAGGGGGGGTAATGTAGTCATACGGAGTTGCAAATGAAGCCCGGGATTTGAATTTCCCGGGCTTCATTTGCATAAAGCCGGCCGGCGCCATTTTTAAATGCCGGCTAGTTCCTAGCCGGCATTTAAAAATGGCGCCGGCCGGCTTTATGCAAATGAAGCCCGGGAAATTCAAATCCCGGGCTTCATTTGCAACTCCGTATGACTACATTACCCCCCCTAGTTCGAACTAGGGGGGTAGCGTAGACATACCCTTGAAGACTCGTGGCCATGAATGCCTGGGCCACCCTGGCCAGGTCTGTGTGTGATAGGATAGGGGTGCAAGCTTCTGGCCAATCACAGATTTGCATATAGGTGAGATGGAGACAACAAAAGGCCACTTCTCCCTTTAATTCTTGGGTAGGACAGATACACTACTGCAAGCCAAAACGAGGCCTCACCTGGCTCTGAACACAACACATCAAGGGGCAACGCTGTCCCATTTACCTTCACAGGCTCTCCTGATTGTTTCTGCTTTTGGCTGTAGCATGTCTAGCATGACGGTAGTCTCCTCGCAGGACAGCATGCACTCAATCCGCAGCTGGTAGCTAAGAAAGGGAGCCGGTACAAGAGAGTTATGCTGAACAGATCCATGTCCCTGCCAGGAGTGTCTCTCTTCCCATCCCCCCAAGCTACCACACTCTAACCTATGCCAAAAGCCCCATCCGGTGGGTGACCCACTCCCCCTGCTCCAGCACACTGAGACTGCACAGCTGTCTGTGGCTCGGGGTGGTTCTTTCTCAATGGCAGGCCATCGCTGGCAGCGTGGAGGTGGTAGCTTCTGCTGTAGAGACGCGCTGAGCTCAGTGGAGAGGGAGGAGGGTCATGTGGCTATTCGGTGATCTGGATTCTATTCCTGATGCTTCCTGTGTGACTCAACCAGTGGGTCAGATTCAGTCCAGCCCAGTTGGGGAGACTGCCAGAGCAGCCACTTTCTATGGGGCCACAGACATCCCCCTACCTCCTCTTGAAAAAGAGGCACAACTAACTGTGGAAAGAAATGGCCATCACATTCCCTCCTTAATATCTGCTGGCAGGGTTACCGATTAACTTATGAGCATTTCCTCTGGCAGCAAACCCAGAAGGGCCTGGGTGCTATCCCTTCCCTTAGTGCAGCAGCCTAACTAAGCCTAAGTAAACAGGTAGTTGGCCTGGGAATGTATAAGTTACATTTCACTGTACCCGTGTGTCTGCTCCTCCCCAACACAGAGACTACTCCCCTACCTCATGTAAGTGAGGACGCCTGATATTTGTAAAGCATTTGGAGAGCTTCTGAAGGCAGAGGCACGTGATACGCACATAAATTTACAAGTGCCACATTGTGCTATGAACGCCAACAAACAAGCAAGCCTAACAATGATGGAGTACACTAAAAGCATGTTCAGAAAGTCTTAGTTTTAAAACAACAAACGCATTAAAAGGAAGATTTTTTTTAAGAAGGCTTTTCTACAGTGATTTTACAATAAAGGACAGAGACTCTTTAGATGACTTTCCCCAATTGCTGCAAATGTCTCAGCATTCAGAATGTTCTGCAGAGTAATGCTCTAATTTACAGCACTTTCCGTAGGCTTTTAAATGGCACAGAGTGCTACATCCAATCCGATCAAAGAGAGAAGCTTGCTGGTATGGAAAACAATAGGCAAGCAAAAGATGAGGCTGAAGTCAATAACGATATGCCTTACCTGGGAATCTTGAGGAGGAAAAGATAAAATTGATCTGCACTTGCTAACTTGGCTTTTTCTTCCTTGAAGGTTTTCAGGTTTTCTATCTAACAAGAAAACATAAGAGTCAAGCCCCCAGAACTGCATCATATCGACAACTTTTGTGAACTTAATTCAAAAGAGTCTTTCATTCTAACCTCATGCCTTTCAGGTAGCAGCTTCAGCAACTGCTTCAGAACCTCCACATCAAACTTAGTTCTGTCCCCTTTTTCAATCATGTCAGCTACCTCTTCATTTGAGCTGCAGAGAACAGGCAAGTAATTAGAAGCAATAATGGAACCATTGGCCAGCTCCCTGTGACCATAAGCTATTGATTAGGCCTTACAGATACTCGTGAGCAGTGTTCCCTCTAAGCTGTGTGCTTGTGCAACCATTCAGGAGAGATTCCAAAGCCACCCAGCTCATTAGCAGAGCTCCTACAGCTAGGTTTTTTATTTCTACTGGTGAGCACATTCGCACATGCCTTGGTGCACCTAAAAATGTATTCCACACATGGATGGATGAAAAAAAATCAACACATGAATGAAAAAGATTAGCGTGAACATCGCTAGAGAGCGGTGCATAATTACATCTTATTGGTAGGAAAGTTCTTCTGTGGATTAGAGCAGTCATCTGAGACTTGTAAAACCCAGGTTCTGTTCCCTGCTCTGCCACAGACTTTTTATGGGACCTTAGTCAAGTCACTTCAGATTTTTAAAGCTGTTTACGTGCCTGAAGATACAAACTGAAAACCCTACTTGTAGTCTATGCAGATGTTAATGTTTTAGAAAATGCTATCTACGTTAATAATTATTGGTATGGCTTTTACATAGATGTTAAATAAGATGATGCTTAGTGTTAAATATCCAATGAGAAAGCAGAAAATATTTAATTATGGTAGTGGAAATAGCGATATGTTCAAAGGTGGATTTAATGATAATTAATTAAAGGGTGTTGTTATAACTGATTATATAAAGGTTAAGTGATGCATGCCCAACCACTCTTGAGAAACCCTTGGAGCAGCGGTGGGGAACCTTTTTTGGGTCAGGGGCCACTGACCCACAGAAAAATCAGTTGGGGGCCACCCACAAGTGAGAAGCAAAAAACCAAAAACAAGCCCTCACTGACGTGGCCCCTGACTGAGAAGGAGAAAGACGCTCCACACATTCCCCTCACACACCAGAGCTGAGGGGAGCACAGGCTAGGAGCTATTGTGTGCTCCAGCCCCATGGTAGGGTGGCGGGGAGGGACTAGAGCTCCAGTGTGCATCCCCAATTCTGGGGGGAAATCCTGAAACTCAGGGGCTGGATCCAGATAAGCAGGGGGGCGCATTCAACTCCTGGGCCTGAGGTTTCACACCCCTGCCTTTGAGAAAAGGCCCATTCTTCCCATACAAGTACTGACCACCCCTGGAGACATCTCCACACCTTATCCTGTATTAGTGCAGTGTGTGGTTACACTTCCCCGCCTGTTAGCTTTAACCAGCTGCTTTATTTTAACAGGTTTCAAATGTTACTGCTCATGTAATTCACAGATCTCCATGGAATAAAACTATTTGCCCTGAAGGTTCAAACCTTCAAGAATTCAGGCTGATTTTATTTATTCACTTTGCACTGCTAATTGGGAACAGAAAATCAAAGGTACCTGTTTGCATCTTTAGGCACCTAAAAAATCTTCCCATCTGACTCTCTGTGTCTCAGTTTCCTCTCTAAAATGGGGTATAAATAGCACTGCCCTTCCCTGCTGGGCTGTTGTGAAGGTAAATATATATTAAAAAAATTTAAAGGATGAACCGTGAATAGATAGCCATAATAAACTGAAGATATGAGGGACTGACAATGTAGGAATAAGTGGCCACTGTCTCAAATAAAATTACTATTTCCCCCTCTTCTTTTTACTTTCCATTACTTTTAACACCAGGGCATATAAGTGAGATGCTTTACAATCAGTAAACTGTGGACATGAATAAAGATTTGTAATGTAGTAACCTAGAAAAATAATAAATAGATGAGATTGAACCAGCTGACTTCTTTGTTTGTGCAAAGGCATGTTGTTTTAGAGTCACTCCTTGGATGGTCACTCACTCACTCACTCTGTCTTACCATACAGGATGTGTTCGAACTGATGGGAAATATACTGCCTCTAGCTTCCTGTCATCTTTCCTTTTAGATCTCAAATGCTATCTGTATTATTTATCTATATGTATTGTGTCTCAATACAAACATTTAGGCTACGTCTAGACTGGCATGATTTTCCGCAAATGCTTTTAACGGAGAAGTTTTTCCGTTAAAAGCATTTGTGGAAAAGAGCGTCTAGATTGGCATGGACGCTTTTGCGCAAAAGCACTTTTTTGTGTGCCAATCTAGACGCAGTTTTGCGCAAGAAAGCCCCGATCGCCATTTTTGCCATTGGGGCTTTTTTGCGCAAAACAGTTTTTAGATGTCTACACTGGCCCTCGTGCGCAAATACATTTGCGCAAGAGGGCTTTTTCCCGAACGGGAGCAGCATAGTATTTGCAGAAGAACACTGACAATCTTACATTAGATTGTCAGTGTTCTTGCGCAAATTCAAGTGGCCAGTGTAGACAGCGGCTGCTTTTGCGGAAAAACTTGCAAGTCTAGACGCAGCCCTAGGGTGTGATCCTGCAAGTAATTCAAACAATGAATTGTCTAACTGACCCCTGCTGCACTGAATACAATTACTTGTTTACAATTATATGTGAAGCCAGGCCCTGGATATCCTAAGAGGAAGGATGGTCCTTTAGCTAAGGGATTAACCATGGTCTTGGGAATTGTATGGATTTGTCAGCCCCCTCAAAGTACTATTCTCTACAAAAGCCATGCTAATATCACTTGCCACGTTGTTGCTTTAGCGGCAAGGAGTCCTGTGGCACCTTATAGACTAACAGAAGTGTTGGAGCATATGCAAGTTGGAGCATATGCTCCAACACTTCTGTTAGTCTATAAGGTGCCACAGGACTCCTCGCCACTTTTGCAGATTCAGACTAACATGCCTACCCCTCTGGTTGTTGCTTTAGTCAACAATCATGACAACAGTTCATAGCTTACCATTTAAATTGCTTCAAAAATATGTTCAAATTGAGACTCTTCTTGGAGTCTAAGAATGTGATCTGTTTAAAAAACAATAATTTGTTAGATGACCCATTTGCAGTGGCCTTTTACCGTAATCTTCAAATGATGAGAAATAGCCCATTACCTCCTTTGGTTCCACCTTCACAGGGGCAGCTGCTTTCTCCTTGGGCTTGGCTTGAGGAAAACAAAAAAGCTGCTCGATGCTCATGTAATCAGGCTCTATAGTTTCATCGCTGCTGCTGCTCACTGATGCCCACATGGAGCGACTTTCTGAAAGAGACGAGGCACTGAGAATGCAACAGAGGCTTCTGTCACTCAGTAAGTCACTGCTGAGGTTTGTCTCTTACTACTAACATTTCCAGCCCTTCAGGAATTGAAGATTAGTCTTTAATTCAAGATTAGGCCATACAATGAAACCTCCAGGAATACACCCAACCACAACTGGCAATAATAACTAAGGGTACGTCTACACTACAACGTTAATTCGAACTAACTTAGTTCGAATTAGTTAATTCGAACTAAGCTAATTCGAACTAACGGATCCAGACTAAAAAACTAGTTTGAATTAGCGTTTTGCTAATTTGAACTAGCATGTCCACATTAAGTGGACCCTGAACCGGGCTTAAGGATGGCCGGAAGCAGTGCCGGCAGGGCATCAGAGGAGGACTTAGAGCGTGGAGATGCTGTCTCAGGCTAGCTGAGGGCTGTGCTTAAAGGGTCCCGACCCCCACCCCGGACAGACAGTTCTCAGGGGTGCCCCGCTTGCAAAGCAGTCCTGACTTGGAGTGCCCGGAGTACCCACACTGGGCACATCACAGCACTCGGCCATCAGACCGGCTGCGCTTGCCGCAGGCTGCCATCTGGGGAGAGGGAGCAATTGGGGGGCTGCAGGAGAGCTTCCACCCCCAGAAGCCCGCAGAGCCAGCCCAGTCCTCCCCATCGGGGGCGCGTACCCCATTCCTCCCTCACCTCCTTCCACTTACCCTTCCCTAGCCCCTCTTCTTGATGTACAAAATAAAGATAACGTATCTTCCAAAATGGAATCTGTCTTTATTGAACAAAACTGGGGGAGACTGGGAAAAGGAGGTGGGAGAGGGGAAGAGAGAGGCTGGGAGAGGGGAGGGCAACTAAAATGATCAGGGGTTGGGAACAGGTCCCATATGAAGAGAGGCTAAAGAGACTGGGTCTTTTCAGCTTAGAAAAGAGGAGACGGAGGGGGGACAGGATAGAGGTCTCTAAAAGCAGGAGTTGGGTGGAGAGGGTGCATACAGAAAAGTTCTTCATTAGTTCCCATAAAGAAGGACTAGAGGACACCAAAGGAAAGGAATGGGTAGCAGGCTTCAAACTAGTAACAGAAAGTTCTTCTTCACAAAGCAAAGAGTCAACCTGTGGAACTCCTTGCTGCAGGAGGCTGTGAAGGCTACAACTAGAACAGAGTTTAAAGAGAAGTGAGATAAAGTCATGGAGG